AGAGTTAGACAAAAAAAGAGGGGAGAACAAAACTGAGAAAAGACCATTAGATTTGGAGCAAAAATATTTTATTGATTATCTGCGAAAGTGCTTAAATATGGTGGCAATAGCTGTTGAGTTGAAAAAGTCAATAAGGGAAGGAGTGAAAAGAACTGTGGGTAGGGGACTTCCGCCAAGATGGAGGCATAGGTGGAGACACCGTGCTTCCTCACACAACCAAGTTTAGAGACAACTTAATATTAGCAACAGAAAACACAGCCAGAACACGGAAAATTGAACTTTTTGGAAGTCTGATAACAACAAATTCTTCAGCCTGACCGGTAAGAGGGGCGAAGCCAGCAGCTGGTGGAGCGGGGTTGCACAGGAAAACTCAGTCAGATGGACTCAGCGCGTGGAATCCAGGCGCAGGGTTGGACCTGGTGGGCAACTCAGCAAGTGACCGCAGGGAAACAGCGAGGGAGCAGGACTGCGGGTTGACTGTGGTCACACATTCGTGTGTGGATAGACAAGCGAGGGAGTGGGCGATTGGATGAGAGCCAGCAGCCCCAGCAGCGAGCAGCAGCGGAGGGCGCCGCCATTTCACCGCTCTGACCCCGCCTCCACATACAGCGTCATAACCCAGCGACTCTGAGTGGCCCGGCCCTGGTGAACCACCCAAAGCTCTGCTCCTCATCCAGCAGCTAGAAACAGCAGAGGGGGCCGCCATTTCCCCGCTCTGACCTCGCCCCCACATACAGCGTCACAACCCAGCGACCTGGGAGTCCAAGGCTCCACTCCTCATACCTAACGGGCGCTAACAGACCAAAAATGGCTCAAGAAGATCTCAAAGCCCCAGAGCCTATAAATCTAAGCGATGAAGAAATAGCAAAACTCTCAGACGCACAGTTTAAAACACTGGTCATCAGGATCCTCATAGAACTGGTTGATTATAGCCACAAATTAGACAAACATATGAAGGCGAAACTAATTGAAATGAATGGAATTGCACAGGAAACCAATAGCGATGAAAAGGAAACTGGGACTCAAATCAATGGAGTGGACCAGAAGAAAGCAAATAATGGCCAAACAGAAAAGAGTGAAGAAGCAAGAATTCAAAAAAAATGAGGAGAGGCTTAGGAACCTCCAGGATATCTTTAAACGCTCCAACATCCGAATTATAGGGGTACCAGAAGGGGGAAAGGAACAGCCACCAATGGAAAACTTATTTGAACAAATAATAAAGGAGAATTTCCCAAATCTGGCAAAGGAAATAGACTTCCAGGAAATCCAGGAAGCTCAGAGAGTCCCAAAGAAGTTGAACCCAAGAAGAAACACACCAAGGCACATCATCATTACATTAGCCAAGATTAAAATGAAGGAGAGAATCCTAGAAGCAGCAAGAGCTAAGGGAACAGTCACCTACAAAGGAGTTCCCATCAGACTGTCAGCTCATTTCTCAAAAGAGACCTTACAGAAAAGAAGGGGCTGGAAAGAGGTATTCCAATTCATGAAATCCAAAGTCCTACAACCAAGATCGCTCTATCCAGCAAAACTTTCATTTAGAATGGAAGGACAGATAAAGTGCTTCTCAGATAAGACCAAATTCAAGGAGTTCATCATCACCAAGCCCTTATTATATGAAATGTTAAAGGGACTTACCTAAGAAAAAGAAGTTAAAAAAAAAAAACATGAACAGTGAAAGGACAGCAAACTCACAGTTATTAACAACCACACCTAAAACAAAAGCAAACTAAGAGGACAGCTAGATCAGGAGTGGAAACATAGAAATGAAGATCACAAGAAGGGTTAGCAACAGGGGAGTGGGAGGAGGAGAAGGGGGGAGAAGGTACAGAAAATAAGTAGCATAGAAAGTAGATAGAAAATAGATGGGGGGGCAAGAATAGTAGAGGAAATATAGAATCTAAAGAACTTGAGACACATGGTCATAAACTAAAGGGGGGTAATGGTGGGAACGGGGGTAGGGTGGAGGGGAGTGAAGGGGGGAATAGAACAACTAATGGCATAATCAATAAAAAAATAAATGCTTTTTTATATTAAAAAAGAATTGTGGATAGGAGACATACTATTTTTTGGATAAATTTAGCAGTAAAGGAAAAGAGAAACAGTGCAACTAGAATAGGCAGCAGGTTTAAAGAAATAATTTCTTCAGGTTCAGACTTGTATGTATAGAGCAAGAGGGGGAAGGTGCTAATAATAATAGGAAGAGATTTTTATGGGAGTACTTTCTCAGAAAATTATTAGTTAGGAAAAATGTTTACTCAAGTCAGTGTTCTATATTTTTTCAAATGGAGCACTATATTCCATTGGGGAATTTAGAGGGGAGAGTAAAATTTATTGTTTAAACTCTCCAGTAAATGGAACACCTTTTCCAGAAGGGATTTTGGAATGGGATAGGTGGTAGTGGTGTCTGGTAGAACTTAGGTATATTTTTGTGAGAGTAATTAGGATATAAATAGATGTGAATTTAAATGCAAATAAATTGATGTCCAGGTTTCAGTAAGCTGGTGTTTCTAGGTTCCCACAATCTACGTAAGAAAACCTACTGTTAAGTTGAAATGAATCAATTCTTTTGACCATTCAAATTTTCTGGACAGTCAGAGCAATGTAATGCCAACAAGACTAAATGATGACTTTAACCTTTATAGTATTCTCTTGTGCCTTCCTTAAAAGGAGTAGTTAATAAAGATATTATAAACAAATATATGAATAAAGCTGCTAATTTTATTACCTAATCAAACTAAGTGAGCTTTGATAGCTCACTATCATTAATGCTAATGAGTGACATTATAACACATGATAATAAAATTGGTTATGCATATATGATCTGAGGCACTAGACCAAGAAAAAAATTTCTGAAAGTTTCTTTTTCATTTTAATAATCTGTGAAATAACTTAGGTTGTGGTGAACTGAGGCAATTATTTAGATCATTTAATGTTAAAAACATTTTGACTGGAAATACACCAATAATTAAGGCAGTTGGGGGGGACTGATTTGTTTAAATTACTTTTTCTCCATTTTTTATTTTACTTTGAAGATACTAACTATAACGAGCATAAATCATCTGAAGGCACTATTCTTTTTCCTTCACATCTTTTAAAAAATTACTTTATTGTTGTCCAGTTACAGTTGTCTGCATTCTCTCCCCACCCCTCCCCCTCACCTCAGTAGAAACCCACCTCCCTCCCTTGCTTCCACCCTCCCCCTTGGTTTTGTCCATGTGTCCTTTATAGTAGTTCCTGAAAACCCTTCTCCCTACTGTCCCCTCCCCCTCTGACTATTGTTAGATTGTTCTTAATTTCAATGTCTCTGGTTGTATTTTGTTTGCTTTTTTCTTTTGTTGATTATGTTCCAGTTAAAGGTGAGATCATATGGTATTTGTCCCTCAGCACCTGGCTTATTTCACTCAGCGTAATGCTCCCCAGTTCCATCCGTACTTAAATACAGTATTTTGAATAGAATCTATGTGTGCATTTTTATTCAAAACAAATGACTCCCAAATTGTTTGTTGAATGAAAATATATTCAAAATCTCATGCTTGCTTTTCGAGAACTTTTGAAAAATGCGGAATGCAAAATTCAATTTCAATGATTCATTCGAGTGTTTTTTACTGTCATGTTAAAGTTAATATCAATTTTATTGCTATTCTCCAACAGTTTTAAAAACCGTTAAAAGTGGAATCGGCTGACTTTGAAAAACCACTTTCTTCAAGAAAACTGGAGAGTCCCTGACTGGTTCCCACCCCTGCCCGACTTGGGATCCTCCCGATGCCGGCAGGTTCCAACGTTCGCTACACGCTTGGTGCGGGAGGCAGGTGTGACCCCGCAGCGCTGGTCTCGCGAGACTGGGATCGGCTTCTCAGCGCGATCTGCCGCTAGGCCACCGGCCTCGGCGGGACTGTTCTGTTCTGTGCAGTTCTGTTCTGGGGTCCGTCTTCGCGCCCCTAGAGTTTGACTCGGTGGATCGTCGGGGTCGCCGAGGGCCGTTGAGGTTGGCGGGAAGGGGCGCTGTGTGCGGTGGTCATCCCGGGCAGGGGCTGTGAGGGGCCGGGGCGGGGCTGGAGGGCCCCGTCTGCGGCAACACCGGATGGGCGGTCGCGTTCCAGGGGCTTCCGGGCGCGGGGCCACGACGCACACGGCCGCCCGAAGCCGCGGGCGCCGCGTGCTGGGCGTGTGGGGCGGGCCCGGGTGAGGGAGGCGAGGCGAGCAGGCCGAGAGCGCCGAGTCGCCCAGCGGACGGGCCGCCTCAGCGCGCGGGAAGCGGCGCTCCGGGCTCGGGGGAGCTGACGCGCGAGGCCTGCCTCGGGCGCCTTTTGTGAAGCGACCTGGCGGTTCCGTGAAAACCTCCGGTTTTTGGATTCTTGGTGGTAAATTTTAAGTGTGAAATCACACTGGTCCTGCAGGGATCTTGCAGTTCCTAGTAGGACATACGCCGAGAAAGGACGTAATTCATTTTACGAATATATATTTTATAAGTCGTATCCTTTTGAGAACTCTGGGTGTCTGCAGCCTCTAGAATATTCAGTGACTACGATGTCTAAGCAATTTGAAGGCTCCTTCAGAACTTTGTGATGAAGCCGCGTTCAACAAGTATCGATTAAAGTGCCGCCCTGGCTGCTGTGGCCCAGTGGATTGAGGGAGGGGGGCTGTGAACCAAAGGGTTGCAGGTTCGATTCCCAGTCAGGGCAAATGTCTGGGTTGTGGGCCAGGTTCCCAGTAGGGGGCGCGAGGGAGAGGCAACCACACGCAGTTTCTCTCCTCCTCTCCTTCCCTTCCCCTCTTTCTAAAAATAAATAAAATCTTTAAAAAATAAAGTGCCCACTAGGTTTAGGCTCAGTACTGAGCTGAATGGGTCTCTGCTCTCCCCAATTGTTGCTCCATCCACGTTTTTCTGTAATGATGCTGTGTTAACAAACTTGTTACTTAATACATGCTGTTTTGCATATGAGCTCAGAAAATCCATCCTTACAGGTTTTTTTTTTTTTTGAAACACAGTGTCCAAGATGAATGACAGCCTGTTTGTCATCTTGGACAGACTTTTGCTAGAATTTGGTAGGTATAAAATAAAAATAAAGACACATGTAACTATTTGTATTATCATTTGTTGTTTAAACAAGAAGTGAATTAAAAAAAGAATTCTTTATTTTAGTTTTTCAGTATGAGCAAGATATAAGGACTAAAGAAGACATGATTCACCGAATTCATAGTAAGTACTTTGGCATGATAAAGATGTTTCAGTTTTTCATTTTTTATGGCATATAAGGTAATATGCAGCCATCTTGCTTAGAGTAACTTATAGTTGGAATAATAACTTTTGTGCCAGTTCTATTGAGGGCTGATAATGAGCTACGTTTTCTATCCTCACCCAAGGACATGCTTATTAATTTTAGAAGAGAAGGGAGGGAGAGAGGGAGAGAAACATTGATGTGAGAAACATCAAGTGGTTGCTTCCTGGTGTCACCCGGACCAGGGATTAAACCTACAACTTAGGTATGTGTCCTGACTGGGAATCAAACCTGTGAACTTTCAGTTCACAGGATGAAGCTCCAACCATCTGAGCCACACAAGCCAGGGCCTAATAACGAGCTATTTATCCTAAGTACAGATTTTTCAATAATAAAATTTTATATTCTGTGCTTGTGTGTGTGTATGTACATATATATTTTTTTACCTGGTTTGAAACCAGCCCACATGCTACATACCTGTGAGGCTCACTTCAGTATTACTTTTCCTCCTTTTATGACTGCCAAGACCAGTGTTCAGATCCAATGGGAAAGGGAACATTGGGGTTATAATTTAGTATTTAATTTATGTTGAAGAATTTTGCTGTAAGCTGAAATGACCCTTTAAGAGCAGTTGAAAATATGTCATTTTTTTTCAAATAACATAGGTTATTTCAAATACTTGAAATATAGTCAGGGGCCAGGATTGATGCATTAATGCCCTATTTTGGGGGAATAATGATACTGAAAATAGGAGTGAAATGGCAAAACAAATTATATAAATACAGTATTTCAAGCTTCTACAGAAAAACTATCAAAAGAAAATAGAATAGTTAATTTCTTAATAGTTCTGAAAAGGTAGAATTTGGTTATCTTCAACAAAAATGAATACAGAGTATTAATATCTACTTTAATCTTTTTATGAAACTGTATTTTTATCTTGTTTTAGTCACTAATAAAAAGCCAGTTGAAGATGCATTTAACAATGAATTGAAGGACGTTGAATTGATGAATAGAAATTTGTCAAAAACAAAACTCCTTTGTTAGTTTCATAATGGATAAATATTTACATGAACTCATGGCCTCATAAGATACCACTGATCTTAGATATCACTTACTCTAGCCTTTTACAATAAAGAGGATGTTTAATTTCTCTTCAATCCCAAACACAAATCCTTAGTTTCTGGGTATAGGGACAAGCCTGGCTCTGGTTCTGTGCTTTTCAATATAGGGCCCTTCCCATCTCAAGCCCATTTCCTCTCCATTCTCTGGCTGTCTTCCTTTTAGTTAAGTTGCCATAACTTCTTTTTCTATTTGTTTTTTAATTTATGATTTCTACCTTAAAAAATAAATATTTTCTCTTTTCAGAAAGCTTTGATGATATTAAACAAAATAAAGCAACTATTTGTAAGATACAGGAAACTATAAATACAACAGATGAGGAAATTGGTTATTACTTTAAACATAGTAAGGAAATCAAAGACAACTGTAGTAAGTGAGTATTTGAAGAAAAATGCTTTCGGAAATTGTCACTATATCCTTTTATTAAATGCTCCTGAGTTTATAAAAACTGCTGTTTTAAAGTAGTACTTTATATATATTTTAATTTTTTAATTTATTTATTTTTAGAGGGGAAGGGAAGGAGAGAGGGAGAGAAATATCAATGCATGGCTGCCTCTCGTGGGTCCCCCACTGGGAACTGGCCTGCAACCCAGGCATGTGCTCAGACTGGGAATTGAACCGTGATCCTCTGGTTTGCAGGCCCGTTCTCAACCCACTGAGCTATACCAGCCAGGGCTGAAGTAATATTTTATATTAGCACAATGATGAATTAAGTCTTAATTGCCTTGTAAGAAGGGATCACAAGAGGTTTAAAAGAAAAATAGAAATGCTGTAAGATCTCTCTAATTCAGATCTCATTAGATTCAGTATGTAAAATTTATATTACATAAATAAATTTGAAATAATTTACAACTTTCAATTTTCAAGATCTTATTTTTGTCTAGTGAAACCTCACCTAAAATTAGTAGTTTTTCAAAATTAAAAAAATTAAATATGTTGAGAATTCTTTTGACATAGCTTCAGGCTCCAGATTCTAGTGGTTAAATCCATTATAAGACATACATATTTTGAAATAAAAACTTGTTAATGAGACTATATTGTATATTATAAATACTTTAAAAATGTTAGTTTTTTGTATTTAACTTTATGTGAACCATTGTCATTGTATTAGAAACTATACTTTAGAATAATTTGTTCTAACATATTTTGTTATTCAAAAATTTAACAAGCCTTTTTAATTTTTAACCCATTGTTTTTATATTAGTTTTAAAATGTTATAAAAGTAATATGTACCTAATATAAAAACTCAAAAACTATACAAACATACAGAGTAAAAAAGATTTTCCCTGCCTGCAGTCCCCACCCCCCAACCCTGTTCTCTTCCTTGTAGTTGTGAGTGTCCTGTCAGACCTTTTTAGTAAATATTCAACATCATTACTACATATACTTATAGACACATCTATCTACATATCTTTCCTTTTTTACAAAAATGGGATCATACCATACATATTCTTCAACTTGTTTTTAAATTTAATAATATGTAATGTAAATGGTATTGTATATGTAATGATTATGTATAAATTTCATTTTAGCAGCTTCTCAGTACTTTATAGTATTAATGTATCCTGAATTATTTGACCATTCTCCTATTAATAGGCATTTAGGTTGTTTCCAGTTTTTTCCTATTATAAGCAACATGTACAGGTACCTTCCACATTTATAGACCTATTGCTATAGAATGAACTTCTAGAAGTGAGATTGCTAGATCAAAGAATATGTACATTTAACCATTTGGTAGATAATGCCAAACTACTCTCTAAAAAGATCATACTAACTTATATTCCCACCAACAACCTATGAGAGTTTCTATTTTCTCGCACCGTTGCCAACACAGGAATTAGCAATATTTAAATTTTTTGGCTATCAGGTCAATAAAAAACTATATTGTTGAAATTTTTCTTTTCTTTTTTTTTACTTAGGTTTTTATTTTAGTAGGTTCTACCATCAACTAACTGCAGTGGGTGCTGGAAAAGAACTGATAGTTTCTCCTTAGAACCTGCTGTGTCCAAGATGTACTGTATTATACAATTTAATCTCTGCTGGGTTCTGAGGACAGTTAGTAGGATCTGTTTATTTTAATACCGTGAACACTTGTAGTTCATGATGTCAGCATGTTTCTTTAGAAATTTAAATGTGAGCCATGGCTGGTGTGGCTTAGTGAATTGAGCACCACCTGCAAACCAAAGGGTTGCTGGTTGGATTCCCAGTCTAGGGCACATGCCTGGGTTGCAGGCCAGGTCCCCAGTAGGGGGTGTGTGAGAGGCAACCACACATTGATGTTTCTCTCCCTCTCATTCTCCCTCCTTTTCCCTTTCTAAAAATAAATAAATAAAATCCTTAAAAAATAAATTTAAATGTGAAATATGAATTCATGAAAGTACTAGAAGAAAATATAGGTAATTATATAATCTTTAAGAAAAAACATTCTAAATATGTCACCAAAAGGAGAAATAACATGGGAAATGGATAAATATGACTACATAAAGATTAAAAAGAAAGACACCCAAAATGATATAAAAGGCAAAAGAAAACAATTCATTAAAAAATAGCAGTACTTATTTTTCAGTGTTGAGAATATGGGTGATTTTCTGTGTTTGCAAAGTAGACAGCTATACTTTTTGAGTCTTAAAAAAATTAGAAAAAGGAACTAGAGGAAATATTTGAACAATACTTAGAATGGAAGCTGCCATGATGTATGCTAATTCTAGATTTTTCACATTGGTAACATTTTTCAAGTCATGTAATAAAAAATGTGTAAGATGAATATTATTCTTACAGTCTGATTTTGTAATTCATTTTGGCCTGGTTTCTTTCTTATAGGTCAGGGGGGTGTCACAACCTGACTTTTCAAGTTTCAAAGGAGAAAAAAGATTCCCTTTAGCCCTTATCCTAGCACTTTGAATGCTTACTCCAAAAGATTAAAAAAAGATTTTATTTATTTATTTTTAGAGTGAGGGGAAGAGAGGGAGAGAAACATCTGTTGTCTCTTGCATACCCCAACCATGGACCTGGCCTGAAACCCAGGCATGTACCCTGACAGAGTATCAAACCTGTGACCTTTCAGTTTGCAGGACAGTGCTCAACCTACTTAGCCACACCAGTCAGGGCCCAAAAGAATTTCTTAACCAAAATCTTAGGAGTATGATGTTGCAGTGTTGCAGAGTATATGCTAGAAATGCCGTAGCAATACATAGTCCAGCCCTGTTACAGTTGTTGCTTTCCTAGTCATGGTTCCAAAACAGGTTTTATGTAAAAATTAACAGATAATGATATTTATTTGAGCATAGGTATTATTTCATGAAGGGTGATAGTGGTGGTGGCAGTAGGGTGATGGGAGAAGGGAATATTTTTCTTTTTGGAACCTTGATTTCTCCAGGAAGAGAAAGATTTGTTTATTTTTAAGTGGTTACATTTATTTTCATTATCTCTTACCATTTGTTTGTCATTCTGAGATGCTAATTATAATGTCTTTTTTTCCATAGCTGGAAGCCAACATGTGATGTTTTTCATAAACATGAACACTATATGCAGGACCGATTTACTGTTTATCAAGAAACAATTGAAAAAGACAAGTACAGTACATATATTAATTTAAGCTCATCAGTTCTCTAAGTATTAATAGAATATACTTTGTAAAAATGTAAATTAAAAAATGCAGAAGTTTTGTAGATGGGAATCGTTTTGTTTTATTTGCTTTTAAAGTAAAGTCAGGGTTTTGGACTTTTGGGGTGCTGTAGGAATCTGACCTACTTGTTACATAGGTCTATCGAATCCCATATTTGTTTAGATATGTCCTTAGATCAGTAGCAATTACTATAGCAGAGTGCTTTAATTAATGGTGCTTCAATTATAACTGAATTGTTATTGGCAAACATCTGGGGGAATGGTTAGCTATAGATTTAGCTTATGAAAAATTTGGTGTATAGGTTTTCCCCAGTACCCAAAAGTAGAGCATTCTTATAAAATTTTTTGTAAGCTGAGATGGCATTTCTCAGTTACCATCACTTTATATGGAAACATTTTTTAGCATTCCCATACCTAAAAATAACCTATTAAATCATACTAAATACCACATAAAACCTACAGTGACACTGACATGTAGTAAAAATAGGAATGCACAGTACAAAGAGTAAATTGAAATAAAGCACACATGCTCACATACTTAGTTCAAAGTTATGGTGGCTTGATGCTGGGATGCGGGATGTAGTTCCTGGGGAAGGAGCTTGGCAGTGACAGTCTTGCTGCTAGGTGTGGGCTGCCTTTATAATGGCTCTTTGTAAAACAAGTGATAAATGCTATTTTTGCTTTTTGCTTTCTTTTGTAAAATCAAAAATTCTCTTTGGATATATTTTGGTGAGGAAAAACAGGTACTAATGTAGGTCATTTTTAAAAGTGAAGTGGTATAATGTGAACTTACTAAAATTAGGGGATACCCATAGTGACTTTTTAAAAAAATTTTATTATTTATCTTTAGAAGGGAAGGGAAGGAGAGAAGGAGAGAAATATCAATGTGTGGTTGCTTCTGGTGCATCCCCTGCTGGGAACTGGCCCCTGCTGGGAACTGGCCTGCAACCCAGGCATGTGCCCTGACGGGGAATCGAACCGTGATCTTGTGGTTCGTAGGCCCGTGCTCAGTCCACTGAGCCACGCCAGCCAGGGCCTGTATTGACTTTTGAAAGGTATTTTATATCAAACTTATGCTTTTCAGAAAGCTAATTTAGTGGGGTGTTATATTCTGATGGAGAAACACCAACATTTGTGTTGTTTATTATGTGTGTAGTAAAATCACCTCATCTTGGGGACTAAATGTAATTAGTAAATATAATGAAACAGGCAAGGGATTTTGAACACACATGTAAAGCATTATCATTTAACTTAATTTTTGTAATTGAAGTGGTTTTATTTTGAGCATAATTGGAGGAAAGCAGTAACCATTTTATATTTTATATTGTTACTATGTTTTCTTCAGCCTTATTGATATTATTGACAAATAACATTAAGTTTGAGATGTATAACATGATTTTTAATTTTTTAATTTACTTTTTAATCTATTTTAACGAATTTTTTCATTACCATTTATTTCCCTTATACCTGCCCCCACAATTACCATACTGTTTCCATGAGTCCTTTTGCTTGATCTCTCCACCCCTAACCCCAACCAGAGCTGTCATCCTGCACTTAACGAGTCTGTTTCTAATTTGTTTGTTTGTTCAGTTTGTTCTTAAGATTCCACATATGAGTGAAACCTGTGGTATTTGGCTTTCTCTGACTGGCTTATTTCACTTAGAACAATGTATTCTAGGTCCATCCACAGTTACACAGGGTAAAATCTTTTTTTAACTAGTCCAGTAGTAGTCTATTGTGTAAATGTCCCATAATTATTTTATCCACTCATCTTTTGATGGACAGTTGGGCTGCTTACATATTTGGGCAATTATAAATAATGCTGCAGTGAACATAGGGATACTTATGTTCTTTTGAGTTAGTGTTTTGGGTTTCTTTGGGTATATTCCCAGACGTGAGGTTGCTGGGTCAAAAGGCAGATTCTCTTTTAATTTTTTGATGTTATCTCCGTGTTGCTTTGCACAGTAGCTGTACCAGACTGCATTCTCACCAACAGTGCAAAAGGGTTCCCCTTTTCCCACATCCTCTCAGCATTTGTTTGTTGATTTATTGATGATAGTCATTCTGACTGGTGTGAGGTGATACATCATTGTGGTTTTAATTACCATTTCTCTGATGATTAGTGACATTGAGTATCTTTTCATATATCTCTTGGCCATCTGTATGCCCTCTATTTAGGTTTTAGGAGAAATGTCTATTTAGGTTTTTTGTCCATTTTTAAATTGAATTGTTTGGGGTTTGGGGGGTTGGTGTTATATAAATTTTGGATATTAACCCCTTATCAGATGTATTGGCAAATATGTTCTCCCATTGTCGTCCATTTATTTTCTTGTTTTAAAAAACATTCTAAATATGTCACCAAAAGGAGAAATAACATAGGAAATGGATAAATATGACTACATAAAGATTAAAAAGAAAGACACCCAAAATGATATAAAAGGCAAAAGAAAACAATTCTTTGTTTTGCCGTGGATGTAGTTTGCTGTAGTCCCAGTTTATTATTTTCTTTTGTTTCCCTTGCCTGAGGAAATATGTCAGATAAAATATTGCTATGAGCAGTATCTGAGATTTTACTGCCTGTGTTTTCTTGTGGGATTTTTATGGTTTCAGGTCTAATATTTAAGTCTTTAACCCATTTTTAATTTATTCTTGTGTGTGGCATAAGAAGGTGGTCTAGTTTCATTCTTATGCACATAATCATCCAATTTCTCAACACCAGTTATTGAATAAACTATCTTTAGCACATTCTATATGTTTTCTTCCTTTGTTAAATATTAATTGACTATAAAGGTGTGGATTTATTTCTGGGCTCTCTACTATTCTATTTAGATTACTATGGCTTTATAGTATAGTTTGATATTAGGTAGCATGATTCCTCCAACTTCATTATTTCTCAGGATCTTGTTTCTTCATTCTGTTCTAGTTGAATGTTTATTTCTTCCTTTTTGTCCAAATCATTGATCTGAGTTGGTTTCCTTCCCTTCACTGTAGGTTTCCTTACCTTTACTGTAGGTTCTCTGTATATTTTGCTTTATTTCACTTTGCATAGCCTTCACTTCTTTATTTTGCAACCATACCCAACCATTTCTGTGAGCACCCTGATTAACAGTGTTTTGAACTCTGCATCTGATAGGTTGGCTGCCTCTTCGAAGCTTAGTTCTGTTCTTGGAGCCTTGATTTCTTCTTTCATTTGGGCCATATATATTTTGTTGTCTTGGCACACCTGTTATGTAGTAAGGGGTGGAGCCTTAGCTGTTCGCCAGGTTGGGGCAACCTGCGTTGCTTTTTTGTGGTAGTGTATGTGGGTAAGGGGTCTGAGAGGGAACAATGCTGCTTGCTCCTCTTCTGCTCCACTTTCAGTCACTTCCCCCACTACCCACAAGCAAGTTGGGCCCTTCTGGTACTGATTCCTGGGTAGGTGGATTTGTGTATGTTCTAGGACCCAGGTGGGTCTCTCTAACGAATTTCCCTGTGAAGCTGGAAGTTTCTCCTGCTGCTGCAACCCCCATAAAGTTTTTACAGTCAGAGGTTTTGAGGCTTTATCCTGTGCTGGACCCCTGGGTTACGTTGTCTCTCTCATTCCCCAGTTATTCATTCTGGTTTATCTGCATGAAAATGTGGGTTTGCCTGGTCCACTGGCCACCATCTTGCCTGCCCTGGTCCTTTAGCCACTACCTGGCCACAAATCCTTTCTGCCTAAGCTGCTTGTCTCAGCCCCTGTTACCAGTGTGGATAAATGTTTCTTCTTTAACTCCTTGGTTGTTGGACTTCCATACAGTTTGATTTTCTGACAGTTCTAGTTAATTTTTGTTTTTAAATTTGTTATCCTTCTTTTGGTTTCTGAGGAAGCAAAATGTATCTACCCATGCCTCCATCTTGGCTGCAAGTCTTACTTCAGTTTTCTTAAATTTGTTAAGGCTAGTTTTGTGGCCCTTATATGATCCTGGAGAATATTCTGTGTGTATTGGGAAGAAGGTGCATTCTGGTGATGTTAGATGGAGTGTCCTGTGTGTGTTAGGTACATTTGGTCCATAGTGGTATTCAGGTATGCTGCTTCTTTATTAATTTCTGTATGGATGATGTTTTCAATGTTGAAAGTGGGGTATTGAAAACCTCTACCATTATTGTATTGCTTTCTCTTTCTCCCTTCAGTTCTGTTAACATTTCCTTTGAATGTTAGGTGTTCCTTGTGGGGAAAAAAGTATATATGATGATTATATCCATTTGATGCATTGACCTTTAAATCATTATTACATAATGATCATCTTTGTCTCTTGCAACTGATTTTGACTGAGAGTCTGTTATATCTTATATAAGTATAACCACTTCTGCTCTATTTCGGTTCCTATTTGCATGAAATATCTTTGTCCAGTTTTTCAGTTTTAGCCTATGTGTCCTTAAGGCTAAAATAACTTTCTTGTAGGCAGCATATAGTTGGATCTTGTTTTTAAAATCCATTAAGCTCTTCTCTGTCTTTTGAATTGAGTCTGTAGGTGTTATCAATAGGTAAAGATTTGCTATAGCCATTTTATCAATTGTTTTCTGAGTTTTTTTAAATTCATTTGTTTCTTCATCTCTTGCTGTATTCTTTTGTGATTTATATTTTATAGTGGTATACTTTATTTCCTTACTTTCTATTTTGTGTATCTGCTATAGAGTTTTGTAGTATGTGGATACCATGAACATCTTATAGCTATAAGAGACTGTTTTATGCTGATACAAGACTACATTGTTACTTCTCCCCCTCATTTTATGTCATTGATGCCATACTATACATCTTTTTATATCATGCATCCATTAATAAATTATCATAGAATTACTTTAAATTTTTTATATGACAAAATAAAAGTGATTTACATAGTACCATTACAGTATTGTGGTATTCTGAATTTGACTTTATATTTACTTTTACCATTGAATTTTATATTTTTATGTTTTCATATTGTTA